CAGCCCGAAAGATGAGCGGGCTGCGTTTTGTAGCCCGTTGCCCGGCCCTGCCCAGTAGAAGCCCTAACCATTTTGGGCAGGGCAAGGGTGGGCTTTTCTGCCCAGCGTAATGACACAATGCCCTATGTCATATGTAAAAAAACAAATCAATTATCATGTTTTGAGACAAATGAGAGGAAAAAAATTATCACGAATGAGTCTATCACTCATATATATATATAAGGCCTATGTAGTCTTATTCTTTAGCTTTTGATTTCTTATGGAAGGTAAAAAAAATATATTTAATAATTAGAATATTTAATAATTAAGCTAAATCAGTATTTCAATTTCTTAGTTTATCCATATAGTTGGTGGATTCTTATAATCATGTGAAAGCACAAAATTTGAAAGGTGGTTTTATTTTTTTTTGTTTTAAAAAATTGGATGTAAGAGAAAAAGAAGAACATTTGACTTGGAGTAATTTAGCATATTGAATCTTATATTTTGATATTTAGCTCTTTTATATAATTATAATTTTTATGTTCCTTTCATTTTTTCTAATTTTACCTTTTTTTTAGCTAAAATAAAAGAGATAATTGCTTGAAATAATATTATCTTATATATATAATTATATATTTTTTCGGGCAGGGCCAAATGGGCAGGGCAGCATACCCTGCTCGCGGCCCTGCCCTGCCCGTGAATCAGCCCGGCCCGAAGATGCCCATTTTTGCTTGGGCAGCTTTTTACTGGGTTGGGCTGGGCATTTTTCTTGCGGGCTCGGGCGGGCTTATTGGGCATGCGGGCCTCATGCACACCCCTAGCTGAAGCTAAGCTTCATGGTTCTCCTTGTTAACTTGTTTTGATTTCAATCTCCACGTTCTCGGGGATTGGAATCAAGTTTATGTTTTTTGACGCTACGCATGGTGATGTCGTGTCATGAATATAAATTAAAAAATTCCCATTATTGCATCGAAGGAAGGAGGAAGGCAAGTCTTGATGATTACACGACAAAATAATATGGTAGGTGGTTGAAACGTCCTATATTCTATTTATGTGTGTGTTGTAAGCAATGAGGCGACTAAAAGAATATTTTAATGCCAAATTATTTCCATCCTGCTCTTTATATATGCAACAAATTTTCCCCCTTTTTCTATCCCATCATTTTCCCCTCTGTCTTTATTTAAATATTTAGAAGGTAATTAAGAATAATTAATTTTAATTGCAATCTATTCAACAAGGGGATTTGACTATAGCACAACTAGTGAATGTCCTCTGGTCAAAAGGACTAGGGAGTGTAACTAGTCTCAACGAGATTGCCGCACCATTTTGAAGCATAATTCTAGCTTATAGATGGGCCCCTGAGTACTTCTTTATATTGCTTCCAGGCCCACGAGGTCCCAAGCCCAATGCTAGCATTGTTTTTTTTTTTTGGGAAAATCATTTTACAACTACCTAAACTTTTCTTCAATCTTTAATTGAGCGAATTACAATGAGTTCTAAAAGAACAAAAAAAAAATCACAAAAGTTATCATTTTTTATTATAGAACTTGTTATTATTGTTATTATAGGTTGTTATTAGAATTTTTTAGTAATTATTTCTTTTTATTGGGATTTGATTGTAATTCTCCTTTTTTACTTTAATACCTATTCCCTTTTTTTTGTCTTTTTTTAAAAATCCTTTAAGTATTTTCTATTATCTCCGTTAACCCCTATACTTTACAAAACACACTCAACAGATAGATAAACGGCGTTAAAGAAGAAAATAATGAAGGAAAAAATTAAAAGACGCAAACCTAGAAGCACGAACGAAGAAAGAGCATCGTCTCTTTTGTTCCTACGCAACCAAGATAGCGCCACTAGTAATTTGTGAGGGCAACGCATTGTAATCTAATTAGAAGCTATTAATCTATTTTTCAATATCTACAATTTGCTTTCAGTTAAGAAAAAATAAAAGTTGCATTAAGCAATGAAACTTGCAACGGCCAGAACTAATTTGGAGTAGCACTTTAAAGAGGACATGTTGAATAATATGATTCTTAAAATCAAGGGTAGCTACTTTGTACGTATTTCAATCACCTTTTCACATATAAATATACACATACAACTGGAATTATGAAGCTGACAAACTAAAGTTTAAAAGACAAAAACTTCAAGCAAAATCAACTAACTGTAGAATCAAATTGCATACAAATTACAAATCTCACCTATCCAATCTAAATCACTTTCTCATCAAAGGGAGAAGCAAATCACACGATCAATCGGGATAGTAGAAGGTGAAAACAGAGAACCCATCCTCCCTTTATGGTAGAGATAAAATCCGTCGAAGAAAATCCCTTTCCAAAAGGTTATGATTCTGTCAAAGCCCTCTCCTCCAAGTTGCTTTGCAAATCAAACCCCTCGATTGTTCAACACTCATCTCTTGCTGAAGTTCAGTTTTGATGAAGAAATTGGATTTTAACCTCTCTCTACTACGGAGATCAAATCTGTTGAAGAAAATCCGTTTGTATAAGGTTTTAATTCCGTCAACACCTCTCCAAATCACATTGTAAATTGAACCCTTCTACCACGGAAGCCCTCCTTTGTCACTGAAGTTGATGAAGAAATTTCATTTGAACAACGTTAATTCCTCTGTTGGCCCTTGATTGTGTTTTGTGAAGTATAGGGGTTAACAGAGATAACAAAAGACACTTAAAGGATTTTTACAAAAACCAAAAAGTTATAAGTGCCATATTAAAAATTGAAAGAAAGTTTAGGTACCTGCAAAATGGTTCTCTCTTACTTTTTTTCCACTAAGAAGGAAGCCTTAATTTTACTGAAATGAAATCAGTTACATTGCTAATCCTAATGATGAACATCATGATGCTCATTGCTGTGTTGAAATCTAAACTATCCAATATAGTTTTAATGGTTTAGAATTAAAAGTTTTAACTAGTGATTTTTAAATAACAAATTATTTTTTAAAAAACTTACAGTTAAGAGATTACATTTATTTTGGATTATGTACCTATTAAAGAAAAACATTCTTTAAAAAAATATTAAATATAAAATCTCATCTGTCTATATTAAATTTGAATGGTTAAAACTTGATTAGTATCGTGGTACTCATAATCACAAGAAGCACTGAAACTGTTTTCCAATTTTCCTATACTCGACTAGAATTTAAACTTTCCAAAATTTGAAGCAAATTTAGAAAATTGAATTCTATTCCTTGTGAAACCTCAATTCTTCCAACTCAGTTTCAGAGCTCATTACCTTGATGAGCACTTTAAGCTCATCAAATTTAAACGGTCTATATCTAATTTAAACAGTATAGATTTAAAATCTTTAATTAATTGTTTTTAAATAAAAATATTTTTTAAAAGAATTGTAGTTGAAAGATTATCTCTATTTTAGATTCTATCCATATTAAAATAATTATTTTAAACAAATAAAAATAAAAATGAAATAAAATTCAAACTATCTAAATGAGATATAAATAATCCAAATCTAACAAGTTTATAATATTCATCAAAATGATAAGCATCGAAACCGGTTCCTGTTCTTCACCCATTAAAGAAACTACTATTAGAAGGTCAATGACAAAACAGCTTCGTAAACCATGTCACATTCATCTCTCTTCAAGTATGTCACATTCATTTCATGATGATACCATATTGCGAATAGCGTAGTTACACAATGCTTTTAAACCTCGTACGATGAAATGAAATGTTTAAGAAGCCCAATGAGTCGCGTAGCTTTCGAACCATCACCAAAGAAATCAACCCCATGAGAGACTTCCTTCTCAAATCAGTCACCACCTTCACCCCCTTCTCCTCCATTAATGTCGTCAACTCTCTTCCCCTGTCAACCAGTGGGTCCCCCTCATTCCCACTCACCACCACCTTCCTTATCTTCTCCATCTCCTCCGGCCCATCCCCGGCAGTTGGATTACAGTACTCGTGATCGCGGTTGCCGGCAAAGCCAGCTCCCACATCAAGTCCATCACACATACTAGATAAACAGGGTTCTTCTCTAGCCTCACTTCTGACTCCGTCCTCTGAGTTTCACTAAAAAATGGTTGACGCAATATCAGACCTTTGATCTCCATCGGCTCAAGATCCCGACCTTTTTCGGCTACACGCAGTCCTCCGTGATAGGCGATTGTAGCCCCTGCGCTATGCCCCATTATTTTTGGCTGGTTTTGATCCAGTGAAGGGCCTCCACCGCATCGTCATAAGCCACTGGAAGCCAGTGCTCTGGAGCAAGGCGGTACTCCACGGAGGCGACCACGGCTTCAATGTCGTTTGCCATCCTCGAACAGAAGTTGTGGACAACAAGAGAAGCTGCACTGTAAGAGATGAAACCACCAGCATGGAAGTAAACGATAAGTGGCAACTTGTTCTTTTTGGGGAGATGATTATCCAGAGCTTAGCGAGGCAGGAATATTCGAACCCAGGTGTTGTTTGATTGGTTAATGGTGATATCCTTAGAGTTGATAGGCGATCCATCTAAAGCTTCACGACTCATTGGACTGATCAGACATTTGATTTCTTCATCGAGGGCTTAATAAGCAAGTTGTATGTGGTTAATCAAAACTATTGACTAAAATAATTCATACCATATGTGTCTACGTAATTCTGCAGTTAAATGGAATTAAATTACGTCATTAACTAAATTCAATCTCTTTTTAAATTGCTTGAATGCATACTACCTCCTGTCCTTAATATAAGACCTCGTTTGACTTTTATTTTGATCTTAAATACAAGATCCCAATCTACTTTGTCTCTCATATTTGTATATATTTTTTTAAAGTTAGTCTTTCTCATAATGGTAGTTGTAGCCAATACACTTGATTAGCAAGGATATTTTAAGAAAGGTAATACCTATTTATTATAATTAGTACAGGTAGTATTATATAACATGATGACTAGGTATATAATTTGTTTAATACGTACGATCTTGACTATGTTTGTAATTTAATTTGCTCTCACGGAATCGATATGTCCGGATTCATTTTCTGCAATGTGGAAAATCATTTTGTAACAAATCAATAATTCAAAAAGCCTCGACTTTACTCTCTCATCATGTCAAAATCTTCTGAACCGCCTGATCCTTACCAGCTTCTCCAAATTGTACTCAATCCTGAAGGTACTGTCACTCTCTCCCTTGAAGATCCACACACACCAGCCACATCTGATCCCAACCTTCCCATCGCAGTTCTGACCAAGGATTTCATCATTAACCAATCGAACAACACCTGGGTTCGATTATTTGTGCCTCGCAAATTATTCAATCATCATCCCTCCAACAACAAGAAGCTTCCTCTTATCGTTTACTTCCATGGAGGTGGTTTCATCTGCTACAGCGCAGCTTCCACCGTTGTCCATGACTTTTGTTCAAAGATGGCAACTGACATCGAAGCGGTGGTAGCCTCCGTAAATTACCGCCTTGCTCCGGAGCACCGGTTGCCGGCCGCTTACGAAGATGCCGTGGAGGCGCTTCACTGGATCAAAACCTGCCCTGACGGCTGGTTGAGACAGTTCGTTGACTATTCCAATTGCTACTTGATGGGGAATAGCGCAGGGGCTACAATCGCTTACCATGCAGGCCTACGTGTGGCTGAGAAAGGTCAGGATGATTTGGAGCCGATGAAGATCAAAGGGCTGATATTGCATCAACCCGGCTTCGGCGGGACCCAAAGGACGGAGTCGGAAATGAGACTAGAGAAGAATCCAGTACTTCCGATGTGTGCGTGTGACCTGTTGTGGGAGCTAGCTCTGCCAGTAGGAGCAAACCGTGATCACGAGTACTGTAATCCGACGGCGCCGCGTGGACCGGAGAAGATGGAGAAGATAAGGGTGGCGGGGTGGAGAGTGATGGTGAGTGGGAATGGGGAGGACCCACTGGTTGACAGAGGCAGAGAAGTGGTGAAGATGATGAAGAAGAAGGGAGTGAAGGTGGTGACTGATTTTGTTGAACAAGGAACTCATGGCGTAGAGTTCGTGGATCCCTCAGTGGCTTCGCGACTCAATCGAGTCCTCAAACGCTTCATTTCTTCATCCAATAAGTGGGGGTGATCACCAATCTCTGTATATGTTCCTGTGTGTAGAGTTATATCTGTGTGTGTGGTGTTGTGGGTTGAAGCTAGGCTGAAGCTAAGCTTCATGGTTCTCCTTGTTAAGTTGTTTTGATTTCAATCTCCTCCTTTTTCGGGATTGGAATCAAGTTTATGTTTTTTGACGCTGCGTATGATGATGTCGTGTTATGAATATAAATTAATAAAACCCCATTATTATATTGCAGGGAAGGAGGAAGGCAAGTCTTGAGATGATTACATGACAAAATAATGTGGTGGGTTGTTGAAACGTCCTATATTCTATTTATGTGTGTTGTAAGCAATGAGGCGACTAAAGAATATTTTAGTGCCAAATTATTTGTAACCTGATCTTTATATATATATATTCAACGAGTTTATACTATCCCATCATTTTTCCCTTTTTCTTTATTCAAAACATTTAGAAGACAGTTAAGAATAATTAATTCTAATTGCAATCTATTCAACAAGGCGATTTGACTATAACACACAACTAGTGAATGTACTAATCTCAACTAGATTGCCGCACCATTTTAAAGCATATTTCTAGCTTGTAGATGCGCTCCTGCGTACCTCTTTATATTGTTTCCAGGCCCACCTGATCCCAAGCTCAATGCATGGTCTAGATTTAAAATTTTTAACTAGTAATTTTTAAATAAAAAATTATTTTTTAAAAAAAACTTTAAGTTAAGATATTACATTTATTTTGAATTATGTACCTATTAAAAAATATTTTTTAAATAAAAATATTAAATATTGGATCTTGGCTGCTTATAATAAATTTAAATGGTTAAAATTTGATGAGAATCATGTCATAAGTTTAAACTATGTGAAATTTTACTATACTGAACTAGAGTGTTTTTTTTTTTTTTTTGCCCCAACGATGCTCAGCTGGAGTTTAAACTTTCCAAAATTTGAAGCAAATTTAGAAAAATCAAACTATCTTCCTTGTGAAGCCACGATTCTTCAGCTATTAAACAAACTACTATTAGAAGGTCAATAAGAAAGTAGTTAGATAGATCTTGATGAGCATTTTAAACTTATTAGATCTGGATCATTTATATCTAATTTAAACGGTCTAAATTTAAAATATTTAATTAATTATTTTTAAATAGAAAAATATTTTTTGAAAGAACGATAGTTAAGAGATTATTTCTATTTTATATTCTATATATGTTAAAATAATTTTTTTGGAATAAATAAAGATAAAAAGAAATTAAATCCGGGTGCTTCTCCATACTGATTCCGTTGGATACGCCATATCAAATTTCTCTCTCTTCAGGTATATCACATTCATTACATCATGATACTACCTCCGGTATTAGTTATAAGAGTCAGTTAACTAATTTGAGGAGATTAAGGAAGTAAGTTGAGTTAGTTATTTGTCCTAAATAGGTGTTGTCTTTCCTAAAATATTCTTACTAATCAAGTGTATTAACTAGAACTATTATTATTAGAAGGACTACTTTGAAAAAAAAAATATAAATATGAGAGACAAAGTGAATTGGAGTCTTATATTTAGGATCAAAATAAAAGTCAAACATGGTGTTATATTAAGAACCGGAAGTAGTACCATATATATTGCGAATAACGTAGTTACAGAATGCCTTTAAACCTCGTACGATGAAATGAAATCTTTTAGAAGCCCAGTGAGTCGCGTAGCCTTCGAACCATCCCCAAAGAAATCAACCCCATGACCACCTTCATCATCAAAATCAGTCACCACTTTCACTCCCTTCCTCTCCATTAATGTCGCCAATTCTCTTCCTCTGTCAACCAGTGGGTCCCCCTCATTCCCACTCACCACCACCTTCCACCCCACCTTCCTTATCTTCTCCATCTCCTCCGGCCCATCTCCGGCAGTCGGATTGCAGTCCTCGTGATCGCGGTTCGCTCCCACAGGCAACGCCAGCTCCCACATCGGGTCCATCACACATACTGGATAAACTGGGTTCTTCTCTAGCCTCACTTCTGACCCCGTCCTCTGAGTTCCACTAAAAAATGGGTGACGCAATATCAGACCTTTGATCTCCATCGGCTCAAGATCCCGACCTTTTTCGGCTACACGCAATCCTGCGTGGTAGGCAATTGTAGCCCCTGCGCTATATGCCCCATTATGTAACAACTAGAATAGTCAACGAACTCTCTTAACCAATCGTTAGGTCTGGTTTTGATCCAGTGAAGCGCCTCCACGGCATCGTCATAAGCCGCTGGAAGCCGGTGCTCCGGAGCAAGGCGGTACTCCACGGAGGCAACCACAGCTTGGATGTCGTTTGCCATCCTCGAACAGAAGTTGTGGACAACAGTAGAAGCTGCATTGTAAGAGATGAAACCACCAGCATGGAAGTAAACAATAAGACGAAACTTGTTCTTGTTGGGGAGATGATTATCCAGTGCTTTGCGAGGCAGGAATATTCGAACCCAGGTGTTGTTTGATTGGTTAATGGTGATATCCTTGGAAAGAACAAGACATATAAGAAGGTTGGCATCAGATGTGGGAGATGTACGGGGCTCCGCGGACAACCGAGATAGAGTGCCATTAGGATTGAGGACGATGTGGAGAAACTGGTAAGGATCAATGGATTCTGCAGATTCTGATATGGAGATGTATAGAGTTCGAGTCTGGGATTGCTATAATTTCTTTGCATGAAATGAAGACACTTATTACCCAAATCCATCTACCTACTTGCTTCTATTTTCTAATAGGATTGCCTTCAATCTCGTGTTTATATGGGTATTATTGTCAACATCACGAGTCATTAAGACGAATTGTATATTGCGGTGGCTTTGGCCGTTATATAGATACTATTACTTCTAATTCTTAATATAAGAATTAGATAATAAATTTGAGAAAATTAAATAAATTAGTTAAGTTGTTAATTGTAACAAATGTGTATTCATTTTTCTAAACTATCTTCTTTAATTATGTGCATTAAAACCATCACTTGATGAAACCCTTAACAAATATCAATGAGGGTATTTTAGAGAAAACATTATAAATTTAAGAGACAGTTGATTGAGGACTTATATTTAAGATAAAATATATTTTCTAACTAGTTTTTATATTAAGAACCAGAGCTAGTACTAGAGAATGATTTAACTCTTCTAGGATTCAAAAAATATGATTTAATTTCATAGATATTCATATCAAATTGATGATATCCCAGCGGTTTATTTATGGTGTATTTGAAATAGTGGCAGCAAAACTAACTTTTATAAACTAAAGTTAGAATAAAAGTCAGTTAATATAATGTGATTTATGTTTAGATTAGTACTTATAAAAACTTAGTTGGAAAAACTAAAGCTTGTTTGGATGATGAATAAAAAAGTAAGTTTAGTTACAAAATGACTAAAAAAAACATGGACTTTATTGAATACTAATGTTTGATATTATGTGTTTTTAATGTGAAAATAGTTAAAAAAAACCTAAAATTATTATAATAAAATAAACATAGTTTTTTTGTGAAATTATAAAATAAAAATACTTGTTACCAAAAAAAATTTGAAAACACATTGTAGATAATTAAATATATAAATGGACAAACATAAATATAAATTAAATTTCATTTGGTCTGTAATTAAGATAAATAAAATCACATAACTAATTATAATAAGTGAAGGGAGAAGAGTAGGGGAAAAAGTGAAGGGTAGATGTGGGTAGGTGTGTTTTGAATGAGCATTAGTGCAAGCCTAACAGTAAATTGCCTCGCTAAATGCTCCATAAGCAACTCTCCTTAGCGTTGAAATGCATTCTTATTTTAGCCAGAAGTAGTTGGGCTTTTAGCCCCACCCAAATACCAAAAAAGCCGCGAAAGCCCCCAAATTGAGGTTCACACATGCCCATATAATTTTTGAGGTCCAAACATGTCCTTAATTGTTTTGTGTTCGCTTAACGGGAAGAAATTAAAGCGGCATGTGCTAGAAACATATAATTGGTTATATATATTAACCTGAAACTTGAAAGCTATAGGTTTATATGTCTTTCAACTTACTATACCTGTTTATATTAAGCTCTATTCTATCTCAGGTTGAGATTTTCATAATAAATATTCTGCTCATATACTTGATACCACAAGAGCATGAATGTGACGCGCTGGAAGAAATTTTTCAAAGGTAAGGGTAATGGAAACAGATTTGTTGGTACAGCTTTAAATATAACAAACCAATATTCATAATTCAAATTCATGTCAAAATTTGCTATCTTATAATCAGGTTCTACCGTCAACAAGAACCCACAAATTCAAAGGCGTATATAATTTTGCGTCAGCTTATAGGTTGTGCAAGTTAATTTGTGACGCATTCCATTAGTTAAATTAATTTTTTAGATATATATTAAGAAAATTTAGTTATATGTAACAAATGTATCTTGATTTTTTCATAACATTGTTTCGAATCATGTACATTGTAGCTGCTTTTTGATAGAAATCCCTTTACTATATTTATACGTGCTATCAATAAAAAGACATTGAAGAAAAAACTATAAATTTGAGAGACAATAAATTGAATTGAGATGTTTAGCTTTTATATTTAAAATATGAGATAGCATTTTTTTATATTAATGAGTTGATTTATTGCGTAATCAATAATAACTGTGGTAGTGGAGGCTAGGACTGTTCACAAGATGTGAATGAGACAAGGACAGGCCCATTCCGGTAAATAGGGATGGCACGGGATTTTTGTCCTGTGTTCGAGGGGACCGGGACATCCCGTTTTCTCTTTTTTTTAAAAAAAAAACATTATAATTTTTTGTATGAATGTTTTTGTGTTATAATGCTTATTTTTTATTGGGCTTCTAAAGAAGAAAACATTATAAAAAAATATTATATAGAAAGATCAATTATATAATATAAAAAAATATAAAAATAATACTGTAAAAAGAAATACCATAAAAAAAATATATAAATGGCTTTATGAATTATTTTATGAAGGAATGAAATTTTGTTGAGATAATAAAACAGCTTAAGAACTAAAAATCACTATAAAAATAATCATTATTCCTCCGGTCCTTAATATAGGACCCAATTCTTGATTTGGTTTTGGTCCTAAATATAAGACCCATTTATTATATTTATCAGTTTTCTCTAAATTACCCCTATAGATACTCTTTCAGCCATAATCAAGTAAAAGAGGGAGATGAGGTATTAAGAAAGATGATTGTGGTGTTTTGGGAAAAATGTGTCATATTTCTTATAATTAACTAACTTACCTAACTTCCTTAATATAATCAAATTAGTTAAATTAGTCTTATATTAAGGACCGGAGGAGTATTATTAATAAGTAAAATAAATAATTTAATAATAATTATTAATAAATAATTTTTTTAAAAAAATATTCCGGGACGGGATGATCCCGTCCTATTCTGTATTTATCCTGTCTCAAAATTTTTTTGGTCCCATCCTGTCCCAAATTCACCTTAAACAGGACAGAACAAATTGAACACTTCTAAGAGCGGTCGCAGTCCTATAAAGTCAATATCTAGAATCTAGAATTGCTTTAAAAACAAAAAAGCAATGGAATCAAGTCCTTATCGTTAACTTGGTGTAAAAGTAATCATGTTGAAAAGCACTAGGCTACCTCTATATATTAAACGGAACCAGCTTATCTTCATCTTCATCCAAATTAACAGAAAAAGAGAAATCCCAATCGTACACCATCTCTCGCTCCCATGTCAGAATCTGATCAATGCCTTGATCCATATCAGTTCCTCCAAATCAGCCTTAATCCTGATGGAACTCTCACTCGCCCTCTTCATGATCCACGAACATCTCCCACTTCGGATCCCAACCTTCCCATCTCTGTTCTCACCAAAGATCTCACCATAAACCAATCAAACACCTGGCTCCGATTATTCCTACCTCGCAAAGCACTGAATAATCAACCCTCCAACAAGTTCCCTCTCATCATTTTCTTCCATGGAAGTGGATTCATCCTTTACAGCGCTGCTTCCACTGTTTTCCACGACTTCTGTTCGAGAATGGCAAACGACGTCGAAGCCGTGGTTGCCTCTGCGGAGTACCGCCTTGCTCCGGAGCACCGGCTTCCGGCTGCTTATGACGATGCCGTGGAGGCGCTTCACTGGATCACAACCAGCCCAGATGATTGGTTACGAGAGTTCGTTGACTATTCCAATTGTTACGTGATGGGGAACAGTGCAGGGGGTGCAATCGCCTACCACGCAGGCCTGCGTGTAGTTGAGGAAGTGAGCGGCGATCTGGAGCCGATGAAGATCAGAGGACTGATATTGCGCCAACCCTTCTTCGGTGGGATCCAAAGGACAGAATCAGAAATGAGGCTGGAGAAGAATCCTGTGATTCCATTGTGTGTGATTGACATGTTGTGGGAGTTAGCTTTGCCTGTGGGAGCAAACCGTGATCATGAGTACAGTAATCCGATGGGCGGGGATTGGCCGGGGAAGATGGAGAAGATAAGAGAAGAGGGATGGATGGTGATGGTGAGTGGGAATGGAGGGGACCCACTGGTTGACGGAGGAAGAGATTTGGCGACATTAATGGAGAAGAAGGGAGTGAAGGTGGTGACTGATTTTGAGAAGGAAGGCTGTCATGGGATAGAGTTCGAGGATCCTTCAGTGGCTCTGCGATTCATTGAAGCTCTCAAACACTTTATTTCTTCATCAAAGAAGCATGGTTGATCACAGTTACTGACCATTTTGCAATTTTTTTGGGATTTTAATCTGTTCATCTTTGAAATTGGAGTCAAGTTTATGTTTTAACTTTTAAGACGCGCTATGATATGCCGATATAAATAAAAATAACATCTTTCTCAATATTTTTATATTTTAAGAAGAAAAAAAAAATCTGGTCATGTAATTGATGTTTAAAATTGAGACGATAAATAATAATTCCTTACAATCTACTTTGTAAGCTGTTAATTAATGTGGATGGGAGTTCCAAATTATACATAGCTTATTCTTTCTTCTTCCTCCTCTTCTTTTTTTTGTGCGAGCTCTATATAACTTAATCACATGATAGACTTCTTTTGTCGCTGGTAATTTGAAGATATTTTTTTTGTAAGAAGGTATGTGAATATATATTGTTGGCAAAAAAAAATGCGAATATATATTTTCTTAACTATTATCAGGAAAGGAATCAGCTGATCGACTGATCGAGTCACTTTACATTTGTAATGGTGAGATTTCTAATAGGTAATAGTACTGCCGTGTAAATGTTTGTTTCTCTGTATGTTTGGTTACACTCTTTGTTGGTTTTTTGGTTTCTTATTTGTAAAAAGATATTTGATAACCTTTAAAATCACTTTTAAAAAGTACTTTTTCGTAAAACGAGACAAATTTTTATATATTTTTTTATAAACTGTAAAAATATTTTTGAAACTATAATTTGGTTTCCATCAAATACTTCAAAATAGTTTCTGACTTTTAGCTTGACTAAAATATCATAATATTCGGCTAAACAAAAAAAAAAGTGTCAGCGTTTATTATTATTATTTACTTGTCTTAATTAATCTGAGTTTCTATTTTCTCCCTAATTACATGTCATATTTCGAATTTGAAGATATAATTATTTTTTGTTTATAATAATATTTCTTTCAGGTGAGAGTATTAAATGGAGGTGGTTAGGTTTAAAATAGGACGGCATTAATTCAAGGCGACCACGCTACAAAAAGCAAAAAATCTGACAGAGTAGGTATATTTTGCTTTCTCCTTTATCTATATTTGTTCTTGTATGAAAATAGTAAATAGGGAGGAAAGAAGTGTATTTTTAAAGCAGGAGGTACAAATCCAAAGGTAAATTCATTTCATTAAGTTTCAAATCTTTTGTTCTCGTTACAATAGGTAAATTTTAGCATTGTCCAAGGGAAAAATAACAAAAAAAGGCATTAAAAAAAGAAAAATTATCAATAAAGACCCATTACAATATTAATATTGGTTTTAACCATAATTGATAGGAAAAATTGCAAATAAAGACCCCAATATATAAAATGGCAATCAGGCCCCTGAATTTGAGAAATTACTCACAAGGACCCGGTCCCAATTTGTAATTATGAAATCATAGTCAAATTACCAAAATACCTCTCTTTAATTTTTTTTTTTTTTAAAAAGAACACCACTGCCTCTCTGAAATCCGACCGTCGGCGCCGGAGCTTCGGCGGCCGGAGCTCCGGCACCCCGACTGCCAGCCGCTGGAGCTCCGATGCTGGCGGCCAGTTCCGGCCATTGCCGACGGCCTTCCTTTGTTTTTTTTTTTTTGCAACTGTTTTTTTTTTAAATAGGGGGGAAGTGAGGTTGGGGGGATTTGATCCCCCAACCTAATGCTTCCCAAAATTAAGAATGACCATCGAACAAACAAATTTTTTCTAACATTATAATACAAAAAGAAATAAGTTAACTTATTTACTCTTGTTCAGGTGATAATAACAATACATTTAAAATAACAAGTTCTGATTGTAAAATAATACGTCTGGAATGAAAATTTAACAATATGTTTTTTTTATAACAACAAATTTTGTTGCAGGTGATAACAACAATACATTTGAAAACAACAAGTTCTGATTATAAAATAACAAGTCTGGGATTAAAATTTAACGACACGTTTTTTTAATAACAACACACTTTGTTTCAGGTGATAACAATACATTTGGAAATAACAAGTTCTGATTATAAAATAACTAGTTTGGAATTAAAATTTAACAGCACCTTTTTTTTATATAACAACACATTTTATTCCAAGTGATAACAACAATACATTTGAAAATAACAAGTTCTGATTATAAAATAAGAAATCTAGAATTAAAATTTAACAACACGTTTTTTTTATAACAATTAATTATTTTATACTTTTGAAAAATAAATTATTTATAACTTATAAAAAGCATTTTTAATCTATTTAATTTGCAAAAAAATAATTTTTATCTCCAATTTATAATAAGAACTTGAAGTGTAATTTATTATAGATTAAAAATACTTTTTATTGTTCAAATTTATAAATAAAATTTAGGGCAAATGACAACACACTTTTTTAATTTTTTTAAAATTTTTTTAATCTATATATCTATACAACTCATTATAAATCAAACTACTTCTTATAAATTATAAATAGTACAATTTATTGTAGATTAAAAATACTTTTTGATTGCTTAAATTTATAAATGAAATTTATCTCTAATTTATAATTAAAAATACTATTTTATTCTTTAAATATAAAAACTATTTTTAATATTTAAAGAATGAAATAATAAATTATACTATAATATTTAAATACTTAATAATAAATTTTAATATTTAAAGAATGAAATAATATAAAAATTTATACTATGATTTATAGATTAAAAATACTTAATTATAAATGCTTCATAATTTCTAAGAAGTAGTTTAACTTATAATGAGTTGTATAGATATATAGATTAAAAAGTATTTTTTAGAAAAAATAAATATATTAAAAATATTTTTATAAGTTATAAATAATTTATTTTCCAAAATCATAATATAAATAATTTTCTAAAACAACGTGTTGTTAAATTTTAATTCTAGACTTATTATTTTATAATCAGAACTTGTTATTTCCAAATGTATTGTTGTTATCACCTAAAATAAAGTGTGTTGTTATAAAAAAAAACGTGTTGTTAAATTTTAATCTCAGACTTATTATTTTATAATCAGAACTTGTTATTTTCAAATGTATTGTTGTTATCACCTACAACAAAATTTGTTGTTATAAAAAAAACATATTGTTAAATTTTCATTCCAGACGTGTTATTTTACAATCAGAACTTGTTATTTCTAAATGTATTGTTGTTATCACCTGGAACAAGAGTAAATGAGTTAACTTATTTTTTTTTGTATTATAATGTTAGCAAAAATTTGTTGGCTCGATGGTCATTCCTAATTTTGGGAAGCATTAGGTTGGGGGATCAAATCCCCCCAACCTCACTTCCCCCTTATTTAAAAAAAAAAACAGTTGCAAAAAAAAAACAAAAAGGCCGCCGGCAATGACCGGAACCGACCGACGGCTAGATTCCGGCTGTCGAAGCTCTGGCGCCGACGGTCGGATTCCGGAGAGGCAGTGGTGTTTTTTTATAAAATAAAAAAAATTAAAGAGGGGTATTTTGGTAATTTGATCATGATTTCATAATTACAAATTGGGACCGGGTCCTTGTGAACAATTTCTAAATTCAGGGTCCCTGATTGCTATTTTATATATTAGGGGGTCTTTATTTACAACTTTTTCTAATTGATAAGCAAATAACAATAATTTTTGTAAACGAGTTCTGTACACAACTTTTCAATTCTTAATTTTTTTTTCACTATTTTTTCTTGTTCAAATCAATCAAAGTAGTGTAACTAAGAAAAAAATAAAGGGGACATAATAACTAACGAAACGCATTGAAACTTCTTATTAAATCCAAGTTTCGGCAAGTGTCCAACAGTGAAGGTTGGAATTCTCAGTGTACTTATATTTAAGTCCCGTATGGTACAAGGTATTAAAAATTAGGGATAAAGATTAAGATTGCAGTTGAGAAAAATTATTAAAATAGTATTTAGTATGAGAAATTGTTTGTTATATGGAATTAATCAAATCCATGTAATAAGTGATCTTTCATGCTAAACACTATTTTAAGATATTTTCTCAATCTCAATTTTTAATTTTTAATATTTCATATCAAATGGGACTTTAATACCTAATAGTGTTTTAAATAGGATTACTTTCCATAAAAAAAATATCTAGCTCTACCTAGCAAAAAAAAAAAAACCAACAAAATGAAAAATGAATAATCAACACGTATTGAGTTTAGGGAAAGAGTTAAAAAAAAAAAAAAAAACTAACTCTTTAACACCATATAAACTGTGAAGAGGAATTGGTGTAAGAGTTTCATTGAGAGTTAAACGAGAGTCCCCAACATCACGTTGAAGATGATAGCTAGCGTCTGTGTTCTTGGGGACGCAAACCAATAACTCAACGTGCAAAAAACAGTTTCAGTACTTCAATGGTGGTACCATGAATTGAAAAATAATTTAAATCCCAATTGTTATTAATGTTATTATATTTATGTGTTGGATTAATTTTAAATGAGCCAGCTGGTTGGTGCCAACGTAAAAGGCCTATTTGGACCAATCTCCTCACATCTATAACTTTTGAATAATATGCCTCCGATCCTTAATATAAGATCAAATTCTTAAGTTGGTTTTAGTCCTAAATATAAGATCCATTTATTATATTTATCAATTTTCTCTAAATTACCCCTATGGATACTCCCTCAACCATAATTAAGTAGAAAAAGGAGATGAGGTATTAAAAAAGATGATTATGGTATTTTTCCTATGTCACTTTTCTTATAATTAACTAACTTACCTAACTTTTTTAATCTAATCAAATTAGTTAAATGGGTCTTATATTAGACATCGGAAGAGTAAAATTAAAATGAGTTTCACAACTTAACTTGTAAGAGTTTTGGGAATGAGAAATGAACAAATCGTTAGTTTTGACGGTGAAGGGAATGTTGTGAGTAATTTAGAGAAGTTTGAATTTCAAACAAAAAATGCAATAGAATAAAATTAAAAAAATGTTCTTTCACCAGTGATCATGATTTCTTGCTTGCTTGTGCTGATTTGCGTTTTACCACCAAAAAATATTTGAATTCAAAATTAAAGCACATCAATATATTGAATCATTTCATATATTCAGTTTTTTTCTCTATTTTATTTTTTAAAAATGTATTGATTTCTTGTCCAACCCTTAATTGTTTTCCCTTAGTCTATATTTACCAATATACCAGGCCACCTTTTGTTGGTTTGTTTCCAATATCAACATCAATATTCATACACTTGGCCAAAAAAAAAATCAATATCAATATTGATATACAATAAATTTATATTGTACTATTTATGAGTGATAAATAATTATTTATCCTTAACAAAAAAGAATAGCACACAAAAGCCCAACACCAAGTTTCATGAAACTCCAAAACTTGAATAAGAAAGATTAAAAGTCTAAATCAGGGTTTAATAGCATTGCAACAATATCTAAAACTAACACCTGGAAGTGAACCGTTGACAAAAACTATTCTCACGACGATAATTAGATAATTAATTTATAAATATTGACAAAATTAATTAAATTAAATTGGAATGGTCATCAGCACTCACCAGCGAGGCGCCACCACCGTATCCTCCCGCGCAAGGCAACCATGGTAGATGACGGCCGGGACGGGACGACGATGTCACTGCGCTGTCCCGTCCCGGTATGCTTACTTCCTTAGTTACCTTTTAGGTTTTAGACTTCTAAGCTTTAGCAGATTAATCTCGCCGCTAGCTCATCGCGCTCTGCCTCGCCTCTCGCCTTTCACATTCACCGGTGTTCCTCTCTTACTGGTTCTTGCTCATCGTGCTCTGTCTCTCGCCTCTGCCCTTTCACAGTCACCGGCGTTGCTCTCTCACCGACTGGCCAAGCCATTTATCTCACCCCGCCGCCGCCCGAACCCATACCGTCTCTGCTTTAGTGCTCTGGGAGACTGGTAGTGAGCAGAGTAGTGCTGAACGGCCTGAAATTCCTTCCCACTTGTAATTTTGGTGAAGTACCATTCTTTTTTATCCTATTTACATATGCAATTTGTTTTTAATCGATTATTCTTTCCACCTGCAACTTTGTATCAACTTACCCCATTGCAGCTATGAAGCCATCATGCTTTGATTTTCTCTAAAGCTCTCGTCTTTATTCATTTGGGGCATTTGGGTAAGTCACTATCTTTAATTTGCTCTTTCTTCTCATCCCCGTTGTTGATATTTTTCAAGTTCTGGTGCGAAACTGGTATTTAGTGATCTGATATACTTCATTTAATTAATATGCATCACGTTATGCCTTCTCGACGTTGAACTTGGATATTACAATATTCAACCTGTCAGAGTGCCTAGCTCATAAAACCCGTTGTATAAATAATGCATCAATAACTCAAGGATACAGATGAGGTCCAAAATAACGATATAAACTTAGTTGATCCTTTGTCATTCTTGCAAATGAATGGAGTGTAGATAGATTATGCAGTCTATCAGAATAAAACTATAGAAATTTTGTTTCCTTTCTACATAGCGATAAGTCAGAACCTTGGATTAAAGACTGAAACCCTATGATCAAACCTTATTATACCATTGCTTTATTAATTTAACAACGTAGAAAATTAATGAAAATTTTGGGAGTTTAAGACAATAAAAAATGAACACATCACGTAATTCAGATCATAAACATGATCATAATACTTTGCGATAAAGACGAAGAAATTAATAAATTTGATAGAACCCTCTCCTAAAGAAGCTTATAAACAGAGTAAAAACAAAAAATATACAACACAGAATGGGGATACTTAATATTAATAATACTTTTACTGCATAAAAGATGATTACAACACAATATATGGCAAACAAAAGATACAATACACTCAGACACAACTCTCACAAGATACAACACACAGGATACCAATCTTTTGAGAGGCTTGGCTCTCTCCCACCAAAGGCGTTAGCCACACTTCTCAAAATTCTTCCCTGCCCCCTTGCTCAACCAAAAAGGAAGATTTATAGACCTAAAATGACTTTCACAGCCCCCAACTCATAGACTTTGACTATAGCAGTCCTATAGCTACTTTACTCTCTACTTCTTTCTTCAAAATAGCAAGTCAAACTTCTGCCCAACCAAAAAATAATTTTCCCGTTTCATGTATCTTCCTAGGTCTCTAAAAGGGGTCCTAACAAAATATAAGATGGATCTACGGGAATGCAAGAAAAAAGGAGGGAGTGCTGAGTTGTGATGGTACAAAAATTACAGTAATGCAAAGGATACGGTGTAATGAGGAAAAAAAGAAACAGGGTACAATCAGAATATGAAATTCAACACCAAATCAATGGTAGAGTATCGTTACAATCATGCACTCGTTTAAAAGGATTGTTGTAGTGGAAAAAAATTCAAGAGGAAAAAGAATCATAACCTACTAGAAGAGGAGAAACACCAACTGAGAAGACAAATAGAGACAAAATTTTCCCAATTTAAGAGTGAAAGTTTTGCTGAAGATAATTTAGCAGGAAAGAGGAGTATTACATGGGAGGGTTTCACACCCTGTTTTCAATTGTAACATTAGACATCGGTTTTGTATTCTATCACTTGTGCATGATGGGTTGATTGTTGTTATTCATCTGTTTATTCCTTTATTCCACACAAAAAATATTTTTTCATGATGGTTTTTAATTCTGATTTTGATCATTTGGTATCGAAGTGCTGTTCACATTGTCAGGAAAGATGACTACTACGCATACTCCTCAAGAAAACATTCGGACAACTGAAGGAGATCCTGAAACTGAGAATCTGGCCAGAGCTAACGACTTGACACAATCACTGTTGTCAGGTTCTCAACAAGGGTCCAGCGAAACCTACCATTCATTTAATCAAGAACCGTGCCGAAAAGCACTTGCAAAATTTTTGATATTGGATGAAATTCCTTTTCAAATTGTGGAAAGTGAGGGTTTTAGAAATCTAAGAGAGAGTTACAGCCTTACTTTCAAATCCCCTCAAGAGCGATGGTTATTAGGGATTGCTTGAAGTTGTATTTTGAAGAAGCAAGAAATTTGAATAGGTATTTTAAAAAATTGAAGGTTCGTGTTTCCCTTACTATAGAGACTTGGATATCCAACCAAGATTCCAACTATGTGTGCCTCACTGCGCACTGGATTGAGGAGGATTGGGCATATTAGAAGCGAATCTTGAATTTCTGTGTAGTTGAGAACCATAGAGGTGATACAATTGCAAAAGAAATTGAGAAATGCTTATCGTCTTGGAGCATTGATAATGTATTTACTATCACAATTGATAATGCTTCTTGGAACAATGCTGCAATAACATCTTTGAATAAGGTTTTGAAACAATGGAATGGTCTGGTATGTGATGGGGACTTTTTGCACTTGCGGTGTTTTGTAGATTTTTCGAACTTGATTGTTTGCGATGGTATGAAGGATATGCACAAGTGCATTGAAAGCATTTGGAATGCCATTAAATGTGTTAGATCTTCGCCGATAAGGTTTTGTAAATTCAAAGAGCTTGTGGAGCAAATGAAAATTGATTCAAAGAGTCTGCTAAGCATGGATTGCTCAACTAGGTGGAATTCAACTTACATGATGTTGGAGAATGCCATTAAATTTAGCAGTGGTTTTGAAAGGATGGAGCAAGAAGATGAGGATTACATAAATAGTTTCTTAGAGGAAAAATTAATTGGTCCTCCTAGTACTGTGGATTGGAAAGATGCAAAAGATTTTGTTAGCTTTTTGGAGGTATTCTACAGCTCCACTTTGCAATTTTCAGGATCACTTTCCGTGACCTCAAATGTGTGTTTCCAACATATGGTTGATGTGCTTGATAATCTAAATGAAAGTGCAAATGATCACAATTCTTTGATGGGTAACATGGCCAAGAGGATGCAAAGCAAGTTCAATGAGTATTGGGGGAAGTTGGAAGACCTTAATCCTTTGTTGCTGATAGCAGTAGTACTTGACCCTCGGTTTAAAATGAAATATTTGGAGTTTGCTTTCAAGGATATGTGTCTTGATGCTGCACAACGTGGAGCCTTGTCAAGTAAAGTCTTAGATGTTTTGTACCGTTTGTATGATCATTATTCAAGTTGTCTTGATGCGTCTCAGATTCAAAGTCACAGTCAAACGCAAGTAACAAGTGAAAGTAGTCGTTTAACTTTGTTTGGTTATGTGACTCCAATGGAAAGGTTTCTTGCTGAAATTGAGACCAAGAATCACACAAATAAGTATGCAGAGGTGGAAAAGTATCTTAAAATTGAGTTAGCTGAAGCACATGACCCTAATTTTGATATTTTGGCATGGTGGAAACTGAATGCTGCTAGGTACAAAGTTCTTTCATTGATTGCACGTGATGTTTTGGCCATGCCTATCTCCACTGTGTCTTCAGAATCTGCATTTAGTATGGGAGGTCGTGTCATTGATGAATTCAAAAGATCCCTATCCCCAAAAATGGTTGAGGCACTGATTTGTGTAAAAAATTGGTTATCTCCATTGACATCAAAACTAAAAGGATTTGATATTAATAACTTCAATGACACTGAGAATGTGGTAGATGGTAATACCTATTATTTGTTTTATTTGATTCTTTTTTTTTTTTTTCCGGTTCAAGTTTATCTATTCAATAGTAATAATTGTTCTTTTCGCTTTGTTTCCTGCAGAAGAATTAGAAGCTTATGTGTCAGATGAAGAATGAAGAACCGAAGAACTAGTAGATGTTGAATTTTTAAGTAATGTTGCTTGTCACTTTGATTGAACGAATTGCGTCTTGGTTATTTTGATTTGGACTTGATATCTGGATGAATTGGGTTTTGTTGTGGTGGTATTGTTTTATAATTATGTACTCGTGAACTTAATCGGGAAATTGGGTTGCAATACAGGCTTGTGTTGTTTTAGAAATCATCATGGTCCTCCCATGAACCGGGTTATGTTGTTTTATTTGAAGTTGCCGGACGAACCATCCCCGAATCTGTCCCTGTTCTATTCGGGAGAGGATGAGACATGGGCTCAAAAAGTCAGCCCATATTATTTATCAGGCGAGGCTGTTCCGATCCCATTACGTGAAGTTGCAGGACAAACCGTCGTGAATCTTCTCCCGTGTCTAACTTTTGAACTTTTACCCATGCAATATGTGAAATTTGGAAGGACGTCTTGACAGATACCTTTAGGCCACATTAATGTGCACTAAGCAAGGAATGAAAGATAGACCGGTTAAGGTAGTGATTCAAGAGTTAATGGGTCAAATTGGGATCAATTTAGGATCAAACCGGTCATATTAAAATAATATAATATAATTAAAAATAACAAAAGACAACATCATTAATAATAACTAATAAAAAAATATAAAAAAAATAACAATAGTTTGATTGTAGCAATAACAAAGTACAACAATATTGAGAATTTTGATCTTTATAATTTCTTAATAGCTAAAATTAATAATTATTGATACCAAAATTATTAGGGAAAATTCCAGAAAAGGTCCCTCGAATATATGAAATCCCAGATTGGGTCCTGGAATTTCCAAAATGACAGAAAGGGTCAATGACCCAATCTGTCATTTGTGAAATTAAGACCAATTGACAATTTTGCCCCTGACTAAGTGAATAGTTATTCTCTACACAAATCTAGGTAACGCTTACACTGTTCTAGTGATTACAATATTAGTTGTAGTTAATAATTACAAGATTAGTTGTAGTTAATAATAAGGTCCCTGACTATGAAAAAGTGAATAGTTATTCTCTACACGAATCTAGGTAATACTTACATTGTTCTAGTGATTACAAAATTAGTTGTAGTTAATAACAAGACACCTGAATATGAAAAAACGAGTAGTTATTCGCTATATGAATCTAGGTAATGCTTAAACCCTTATAGTGATTTCTTAAATCATTGTAGTGAATGAATACAAATGAGGGCAAAATTGTCAATTCCTCTTGATTTGCCAAATGACAGATTGGGTCACTGACCCTTTCTGTCATTTTGGAAATTCCAGGACCCAATCTGGGATTTCATATATTCGAGGGACCTTTTCTGGAATTTTCCCAAATTATTATTAAAAGTCATTTAAATTTATATTGATTGAGATATTAGGAACTAAATAAGAAAAAATAAGACTAATAGTAACATAATCACTCAAACCGGTTATATCGGTTTTTACTGGTTCGCCTTGGTTTGATACCAGTTCAATTCATGACCAATTAATTTTCAAATCAAATCAGATCGTTGGCCGATTCACTTTCTGGTTGAACTAGTTGGTTCGATCTGATTGTTTTTTACTACGGTATTAAGATCAACACGGAATATGACGGATGGATCCCTTTTCTTTTCCTATAGAATGAAGATATATTTGTGGTGTAGCATCAAGCTGGCCAATATATATTTTAAGCTAACCTAAATTTATATTGAAAGCGATTCCAAATCCATACCAAAGATCAGAGTCTGATTGATGGAGTGAATGATGTTAATGTTAAAGGACACTTCACTCACCATATCAAAGTTGAATTAGACCAAATATAACGAATCAAGATTTAGCAAATTCATGGAAAGAAAGTAGCATTTGTTCAAATAGACTAGTAAACGATAGCATTTTTCAAGAACAGTACGGAGCATTTTGTTTACTGCAGTAGGCTTCCAAAAGAAATAAATTTCCTGAATCATTTTTTAGAGGCTAGTTGGTGAGACCACCATAACTGGAACCGTAGTGTGAAAATAAGATGAACTGATAAAACTAGAGCTTGAGTTTCCCCACTCGTTCTCAGTTGAAGTTGCGGTACAATAGATAATTGATTCCAAATGAATTTGCTAATCTAATGTAGTTTCATGCTTAATATTATTTGAAATTCGTTGGAGTATATTCCAAACGTATGTCTAGCTCGAGAAGAAAGAGGAAATTTAGCAACGATATAGACTATTAGTGACAAAAATTATTTTATTTGTTTTGCTATAGAAAATTATACTCCTCCGGTCCTTAATATAGGACCCAATTCTTGAGTTGGTTTTGGTCCCAAATATAAGACCTATTTCTCATATTTTTTAATATTCTCTAAATTGCCCCTATGGATACTCCCCCAACCATAATCAAGTAAAAGAGAGAGAGGAGGTATTAAGAAAGATGATTATGGTGTTTTAGAAAAAATGTGTCACTTTTCTTATAATTAACTAATTTACCTAACTTCCTTAATCTAATCAAATTAGTTAAATGGGTCTTATATTAAGGACCGGAGGAGTATTATTTTGTAGATGATAATAGCTGTGGCACCTAAATCCCCGTCTTTCGATAAAAAGAAATAAAAGAAAGAGCCACCACAAAAATTTTAAGAGGTTAATTTTCAAAACCTTTTATAAAAGACATTCTATGAAAACAGAGTCAATTGTGTATGAAAAATGTATTGGGCACCTCACAACACCCGTCCAAGAAAATGTTACCCTAAATTGACTTTAAAAATAATATGGCCTTTTAAAAAAATATTTTAATTACCCAAAAAATAAATAAAAGAAAGAAACACTTTTTTATTTTAAAAAAAGAGAAATATAAAAAGAAAAAAATTGTTTACAAAATTGAACTTGACTTAGAATAAAACCTAAAACTTACCTACTTTTTAGAGGGATCAAAACCCATATAGTTTTAGAGTAAAAAAGTGTGTTAATTGGTTGGTATCTTTTAAGAAAATTTTTTTTTTCTGGGTTTGTCTTTTTTAGTTTATGAAAACAATTTCTTTATTCTTATTTGAAAGAAATTTTTTTACTAAACTTCCTATGGAGATTCCCATAATATCATATAAAAGAATAATCATTCGAGCCTGCAAAATCTCATACTGCTTTAAAAAAACATTTTATTTTGAAACTCATATTACACTTCCTTTGAGAACTCTCATAAACTCAGATGGAATAACAATCATTTAATTGTGTGAAGGTTCTAAAAGCCTCACACAACATAAAAAGAACATTTTTGTTCATTCATTTATATAAAAAAAGAATTTTGTTGAGGTTACGGTGGAAAATCCAAGATGTCTCACAAGTAAAGAAAGGACTCAACGATGGTATTCAAAATAGCAAGCAGCAAGTATATATAGGAATGAAATTAACAGTGAGCAGCGCAATATTTCACCTTGAAGGAGATTTAAATGGTTGAAGCAAGATAAATAACATGTCATTGGAATGAGTGAGCACAAATTGGGACACATACCTTTAACACTTGCAGTAAGAAAATGATAAAGAAAAAGAGCCAAATAATATATAGGATGAAGAACAAAGTGAAAAACCCATCACATATGTAATAGAAGCAAACTTCAGGAGAGGCATAGCAAAAAAAAAAAAAGAAAAGAAAAAGAAAACTTTGTGTGAGAAAGTTACTCTTTCATGAGCAAGATTATTGCCTTGGCGGGAAGACACAATTAACTGTCTAGGAGTGCTCCTCGATTTGGCCATGCAAGGAGGATAGAATACATACCAGGACTGCACATGGGTAGGATTGGGTAGGGCAGGACCTTTGCTTGATGCCTAGCCCAAAGAATGAACGGGCTGGAAAATGTAGCCCGTTACCCGGTCCTGCCCATGAAAAGCCCTATTAAGTTTGGGCTGGGCAAATGCGAGCTGGGTAGGACGGGCTTTCATGTCCAACAAGTCAATATACTATACTAATTAACTAATTATTTATGTCACGCTAAATAATCTAATGTAATTTTATATTAAAATGACAACTTGGCCTTAATTTTGTTATTACTAATTAATATACTATGAAACTACCTTTTTTAGTAGCTAGAGGGAGTGAACTATGACAAAAAAATGTTGTTTGTATGTTATTAAACTTAATTGTTTTTTTTAGTTTCTAACTCTGAAAACCATTCAAAAATAAATAAGTATAATGAACACTAAATATTGATGCAACAATGCGTTTGATTCAGGAAATAGATGAGGCAAATAAAATATATACAAATAAAATTATATACATTTTTACGGGCAGGGCCAAATGGGCAGGGCAGCATACCGTGCCTGATGCCCAGCCCTGCCCAACAATTTGCCCAACTTGAACATCCCCAATAATTCTTTTGGGCCATTTTTTTTTAATTTAGGGCGGGTTGGGCATTTTTTTGCGGACTTGGACGGGCATAACAAGCAACTGGGCTTCATGAACACCCCTATACATAAATGCCTCTATCCCATTAGAGATATATTCCTTTTCAAAAAGACTTGTCAAAACATAAAACAAGTTAGGGTGGTTAAGGTGTAACATCTTGAAGTATTTTCTAAGATACATCCAGTACCTTGATGATTGAATCTAATTGTTCTATGTTATTTCATATCATTTTAAGGGTTTTTATCATAGATTTTGGCTCCTTTGATGATAATTGTGCTTAATGTAGATTAAGAGTCCTTGCTTTGAGTTAGTTTCTTTTTTAGGATAAAATTATCATAATTGGTTATTAATTGTATTCAATTGATTTCTAGGACAATTGATGCTTCAAAGTATTGCTTTTCATTGCAGGAAACTTAGGAATTGGAGCCAAGATCAAGGACCAAAGGATGACACAACACAAGATCAGAGTATCAACACTAACAACCAGTGATCTCTTAGGCAGAGTTTGCCATGGCCAACTTACAGTTTCGCCGCGACGAAATCACAAGATTAGGTGAAGCTCCTCTCGGGAATGCTTTGCCACGGCGAAGTTATGCCTTTGCCGCAGTGAATTGGCAAAAGCCTCATATCAGCAATGCCAGATCCAGATCAGAACACGAAAATGGAGCCTCTAATCATATGATCCGACCCATATTAACCCTAAGAAACCCTATTTTCAAAGAATCACTCCATTCTATCATCTCCAACACCTCTATTCTCTTATCTTCTTGCCTCTCCACCTTCATCTTCTTCCCCATC